CTATAGTACGCATTGACACACAACTGTATGCAATTTTATTCTACCTATCACTGTAAACAATTTTCGCCCCATTTTTCGGAAAAACTTGCTGGTTCGATATATCAAAAAACGGGTTTTATGTCCGTTAACTAAGAAACGGACACAGAGTGCGTCAGAATTACGACAAAAGTGTTTGTTAAATTACGGAATTTTTTCACAGTGTAGTTGGTTGTACATTGATAGACATGCGGTGCTGCGAAGTTCTACAGAACAAACGCGTGACCAAAAATTGAAAGGAAAAGGATGAATTACATTGAATTATTATCTTCGCGATTGCCCAGACGACCGCAAGGAATTCTTTGTCAGTCGTGGAGTAATTTCTCTCCGCCTTGGGCAATGTCTGACTTGCGTAGACGATGACTCGCTCGGTGCCTTCTTGTACTTGAACCAGTACCACGCGAAGTCCAGCGTTACTTACGCCAGTGTGAATCTCGGTTTCCGCATCCTGGTCGAAATGTCTAAGAACAGCCGGAGTCTGCAGTTGTCGCTTCAGCTTGTCGAATGTCTGCTGCTGCTCCTCGGCCCATTCGAACTTCTCAGCGTTCTTCGTGAGGTTTTTGAGCGTTGCGGAAATCCTTGCAAAATCTCGAACGAAGCGCCGATAGTATGCACATACTCCAAGGAACCTTCGCAAGGCCTTTTTGTCACTTGGCGCTGCAAATGCTGCGACGGCGCCAGTCTTCTCTGGTTGGCGAATTCCTTCGTTACTAAACACGTGACATAGGAACTTACGTTCGTCATAGGCGAACCGACACTTTGACGGCTTGAGGGTGAGTCCGGCGGTCCGTATGGCTTCGAGAACAGCTCAGGGTCGTCGAAAATGCTCGTCGAAGTCGCCAGAAAATACTATGATGTCGTCGCGGTAGACCAGACAGCTCTGCCACTTCAGTCCAGCCAGTACGGTGTCCATGAAACGCCGGAAAGTGGCTGGCGCCGTGCATAGTCCGAAGGGCATCACCTTAAACTCGTACAGCCCATCCGGTGTGACGAAGGCTGTCTTCTCTCGGTCCCGTTCGTCGACTTCGATATGGCAGTAGCCGCTCTTTAGGTCCATCGATGAAAAGTATCGACAATGGCGCAGCCGGTCTAACGTAACATCGATGCGGGGGAATGGATACGCGTCTGTCTTTTTTACTGAGTTCAGCTGCCGGTAGTCCACGCAGAACCTAAGCGTCTCGTCTTTCTTCTTAACCAGCACGACTCGAGAGGCCCATGAACTGCTTGAGGGTTGAATTATGTCGTCGTTCAGCATCTCTTGAACTTGCTCCTGGATCACCTGCCTTTCTTTAACAGAGACTCGGTATGGAAATCGATGCACAAGGCGCGCGTCGTTCTCGATAACGATGCGGTGCTTCGCAACGGCGGTTTGGTGGAGCTTCGATGACGTCGCAAAGCAGTCGCGGTATTCGGCGAGGAGGCCAATCATCTGACGTCGTTTCGGGCCCGGAAGCTTAGGGTCAATGTCGAGCTGCGCTGGCGACGTACTGTCTTGCTGAGGTGTCGAGGATTCGTCAGTAATGGCGGTGATTTCGGCGGAGTTTTGGAGTTCCTCGACGTGGCCAACGGCTGCACCTTTTGTGAGGTGTTGCGCTTCGTTCGGAAGTTCGTTATGAGGACCACAGTGCGGCCATCCTGAAGTTCAGCTACCCCTCTTGCGACGCCTATTCCTCTTCCTAGAAGCAACTGGAGGCTCCCCTCGAGCAGAACTTCGCCGCAGAAAGCTTCGGTGACCCCGACAGGCACGAAAACATTCGACCGCGGCGGTAAGTTCACGTGAGTTGCGAGGCCTCGGACCGCGGATGACGTTGCTTTGGGTTCCTCCGGTGGTGAAACGGGTTTTCGTTGAGTTAGCCGGTTTGCTCCGAGGTCGATGACGGCGCCATATTCGCAAAGAGAATCCATTCCGAGAATAACGTCCCTCGAACAGTCTTGCAGAAGGACGAACTTGACAGGGCACGTCTCACCATGGATCTCGACGCGAGCAGTGCATCTCCCGTCTGGTGTGATGAGGTGCCCGTCGGCAATTCGTATTTGGGGGCCTTCTCACGGCGTTGTCACTTCTCGCGGGCGGCGAGAGAGACTTCCACTCATGACTGAGTAGTCTGCTCTGGGGTTCACAAGTGCCGATGCGTTGTGGCTTTCGATGACGAAGTTTAGGCTGTTCCACACTGTTGCAGGCGCGTCGTTGTGATGCATAGCGTCGGGAGAGTGGGAGCGCTCCGTCTTTCTTGGAGTCTCTTTACTTCGGTCGTCTTCGGCAACGCCACCTCCCGGCGTTGCTGCACTTAGTTTTCCCGGCGATGCAAGGGAGACAGGCCCTCTCGACGGTGTCGTGGCGCTGGAGACGTTGAACGTCTGGGCGACGGTCAGCGGGATTCAGGGCGGAGAGGCGGCGCTGAGGATGGCGAACTTCGGAGGTACTGCCCGATGTCGCGAGGGCGTTCGTCACACCTTGGGCGTGGGTCGTCTGGGTGGAATCGGCGCAGCCCCAGTTGTCGGTAGGGGCATCGACGGTAAATGTGACCGGCTGCACCAGAGTGATAGCAGTACGGGCGCCCATCGGCCGTACTCCCCACATCGGTCTTTCGCGGCGCAGCTTGTTCTGGACGGACGTGCGCCCGATCTTCTTGGCGTCGGGGATACTGCGGCGCTGGAGGCTCACGTCGGCGTGGCGCTGTGCACTGGTAAGCTCGGGGCGGTGGCCGTCGGGCAGCTGCGGCGTAAGTCAGCGTCGGCGGTTCGGGAGTGGCGCCGACGAGAACTTCTGGCTGCAGCCTGATGAACTTCTTACCGTGCCATCTCCGCGATTGAGGGCGAAGCTCGGCTGGCGGTGGCAGGTAGAAGCGTCTGAATTTCCTCCCGCACGACATCCCGGATGATTTAGCGGAGATCCGGACTGTTGCAGCTAGAAGGCGAGAGTGCAGCGACGCCGGGAAGTCGCTGGTAGTAGGAGGTCCGTGATTGAAGAGCACGTTCGATGTTCGTCGCCTCGGTGACGAAACCTTCGACTGTTGTCGGAGGGCTCCGGTCAAGACCGCCGAAGATGTTTTCTCTCACGCCTTGCATGAGGACGCGCGGTATTTTCTCCTGGGGTGCTTCAGGGTCTGCACGGGTACTCAGCCGCAGAACATCTTCCACAAAGCTCGTGACTCTTTCGTTAGGTACTTGAAACCTCGACTGGACAAGATCTTCGGCCCGCTGCCTACGATGTTGATTCATGAATGTCCGCTTCAGCTCGGTGACGCACGTGTCCCACGACGTCAGCGAACCCTCATGGATCTCGAACCAGTTTCTTGCAGTTTTCTCCAAGAAGAAGTAGAGATTCTGTAGGCGCTGTTCCGTAGTCCAACCGATATGACGGCCTATGCGTTCATAATGTTGAAGCCAGTCCTCTACATCCACATGGGCCTCGCCATGGAAGGGCGTCGGATTGCGTGGGGCGCCAGGCATGAAGACGACGGTTGGAGCGGTCGAGGTCTGCGGCAATCGGTTGTTCATCGTCGGCCTGTTTGAATGCTTGGTCCTGGTGGCCAAAGTCCAAATTCCGGTTGTAGGCCTTGAATGCGGCGACTTAATCGGGTCTCGGTAGTGTCTTGGTCGCGTCGTCGTGGGCTTACTGTCGGACTTGCACTGCGGGCCCTCGGAGGGGTACGCTGCAGGGACATGCGGTACCCCGCGCCTCCACCAAAATGTCACGAATGACAAGTGATGAGGCGATAATACCTAAAGAAACTAAACGTTTGATGGCGCAAACTTGCGCCCAAAAATGAAAAGGGAACAGAAGAAAGTAGAGCGTCGCTGGCGTCGAAGTCGACGCCGCAGCAGAGTCGAACGCTGGGGCGAAACTGACTCCGCTCGCCTTGAAGAGTCCCTTATGTACCCTCGTAGGTTTCTGGATCATACGGTGTAGAACGTTCGGTGCGTAGAATATTCGGAACTTGATCAGACGAAAATGTTCTCGAACTTGCAAGAAGGCTAAGTTTAAATAATAAATAAAAGGGCAGTCCTCTGACTGGAATCGAACCCACACCTTCCGCGCGACGGTCAAGTGCGGTAACCACTCGGCCAAGCACGCGCTTGCTCGCCGACGCGCGTGGCAATATTTCACGCTGCTAAAAGAAGTGTCACTAATTAAAATGCGCATAAGACATGCCAGTTTAAATATTCTGTTCAATTTACCAAATATTCAATATCGATCTCGACGCCAACATCTAAAAAAGCCGCTACATGTTGTTGAAAGTAGAAAGATGTCCTTCCTTATCCGTCCTTTTTGCTTATTCTTTCTGTAACAAGTTATCAAAACGAACGCGCTCACGTTCAACTATGTTCAACTGCGCAGAATATTAAGCTCTAAAAACTGGTACTCCATGCCATAGAACTGCAGGTGTTTGAATATTTCTTGAAGGCTTCTCAGGCAGCACACAGTATTGGGCCAACATTGGATTTGATGGGGCAAAGAACGGCCTAACAATGGCCCAAATGAGCCATATGTTTCCCAATATTGGAATCACATTGGACAAGATAGGACTATCAAAGCCAATGGTTTTCCAATATTGGTGATACGTTGGCATAGGCTGGTCAACATTGGACTGTCAAAGCCAATAGCTTTCTAATATTGGATATACGGCGGCATAAGTTGTCCAGTATTGGACTGTCGGAGCCACTGGCTTTCTTATATTGGCTATACACTGGCATAACTTGTCCAATATTGGACTGTCAAAGCCAATAGCTTTCCAATATTGGATATACGCCGGCATAACCTGTACAATATAGGACTGTTAGGGCCAATGGTTTTCCGATATTGAATATACATGGCTTGCACCTACGTCATGCGTGTCACGTGAGTGACGTCAGTTCCGCCGACGGCTAGCCGACGGAAACGCTGGGCGCCATCTTGACGGCCACTTTTCGTCCGTGACTGCAGCTAGGCGCATGCACGCCGGCACTCCCTTGCTTTGGTTATGGTAAACTGTGCTGTTTTCGGATGCAGCAATCGATCCCACAAAAAAGCCGGCTCTTCGAGCTGTGCTACCGTCCGATTTTTTTTATTTCCGGCGGTTATCACAACGTCCTGTTGCAAGACGCGAGACCTGTCAACAGCCCGACGAAGCGAATGGATTCGCAGTGTGAACCCAGCCGACATAAAGGATGCCACTCCGTTTCACCGGATTTGTAGCGTGCATTTCGTGACAGGTAAGAAGCTCTATTGATTAATTGTTTATTCAATTTGCAAGGTATTGACACTTGCTACGGTGCCTTCGTGGCCAGTGAGTGCGTGCGGGGGCGGTACGCAGCGCGTCTGTTTGTTGACACCTAACTTTTTATGTGCTCTGTTTATAATTCTTCAAACGCCAGGCAAACCGTCAGCTCTTTTTGACCCTAATCACCCAGACTGGGCCCCTTGTTTGCTGCTTGGGCACAAGAAGTTTAGTCGGGGAACTGCCAGGTAAATAAGACATATTGTCACGAGTGGTGACCAGAATAACAATAAATAAACAGGAAGAACTAAACGTTTAATGTGGCGAACTTGTGCCAAAACAAAAAGAGAATAGAAAATAATAACAAAGCGTCGCGAGCGTCGAGGTCGGCGAGACAGCAGAGTCGAGCGCTGGGGCGAAAACTGACTGGACAAGGTCGCGGGCTGCCTCTTATCTAGAGTGAGTCACTATCTCGAAGATTCGGAGGAGAAGGTTCGAGCGTAGCGCGCTCGGGGCGAGAATGAACAAGCACTTTCTAGAACAACAAAAACAAGGATGAACGATAGTTATGTCCGCAGCAAGAATGAACGAGAACTTTCTACAAGTCCGTGACCCTGCGCGCGGCATTATCCCCCCTTTAAAAAGTGCATCGTCCCGGTGCAGCACAAAACGAAGAACAACAAACAAAAACAAATCCAAAACAAAAAGGCAGCAGAATCGCGAGTCGCAGTTCACAGTTCACCCGTCGACGAGAGTGGAAAGTTCTATCGTTCGTAATACGGCTTCAGCCGGACGACGTGCACCACCTCGGGTCGCGGCTGACGTCTTGCAGATGGGCGCGTTCCGTCGGGTAGAACTTCGTAGTTCAGATCGCCGAGGCGTCGGATGATCTTGTAGGGTCCGAAATAGCGTTTCAGGAGTTTTTCGCTGAGACCGCGACGACGTATTGGTGTCCAAACCCATACCCGGTCTCCGGGTTGAAAGTGGACGTCCCGGCGACGAAGGTTATACCGGTGTGCGTCGATTCGCTGTTGGTCTTGAATCTTGACTCTTGCCAGTTGACGAGCTTCCTCCGCGCGCTGGGAGATGAGTTGAGCGTCGTCGTTGACATCACCGGTTGGCACGTGAGGCAGCATGGCGTCGAGCGTCGTGGTAACCGTTCGGCCGTGTACCAGTTGGAACGGTGTCATTCCCGTGGTTTCTTGAACCGCTGTGTTGTACGCAAACGTGACGTACGGCAGCACCTCGTCCCATGTTTTGTGCTCTACGTCGACGTACATGGAAATCATGTCGGCGATGGTCTTGTTGAGTCTCTCCGTCAGCCCGTTGGTCTGCGGGTGGTACGCCGTGGTGCGACGATGGCTGGTGTGGCTGAGACGAAGGACTTCTTGCGTCAGCTGGGCCATGAAGGATGACCCGCGATCTGTAATCAGTACTTCAGGTGCGCCGTGTCGAAGGAGAATGGACTCGACGAAAAATTTGGCGACTTCCACGGCTGTTCCCTATGGCAGGGCTTTCGTCTCGGCGTATCGTGTAAGATAATCGGTCGCGACGATAATCCACCGATTTCCTTGCGTCGATGTTGGGAACGGCCCAAGCAAATCCATTCCGACTTGCTGGAAAGGCCTAGTCGGGGCAGGTATCGGCTGCAGGAGTCCTGCTGGCTTCGTCGGGGGCCTCTTACGTCGTTGGCACTCATGGCACGACCTTGTGTACAGATGGACTGTTTTCGGGAGTCTCGGCCAGTAGTACTTGTCACGAATCCGGGCGAGCGTCCGGCTGTAGCCAAGGTGTCCAGCCGTCGGGTCGTCGTGGCATGCTTGAAAGATTTCTTCTCGCAGGCTGGCCGGAACAACCAGCAGCCAAGCAGGGTTTCTCGTTCCGAAGTTCTTCTTGAAGAGCACACCTCGCCGCAGAACGAAGCTTGACAAGTCTCGGGCCAAGACTCGCGGAACTGAACTTCCTTGGCCTTCGAGGTGTTCGATCACGGCGCGAAGTTCCGGGTCGTCTCGTTGAAGTGCTCCCATGTCGGCATCCGTCACTGCACCGAGAAAACGGGCGTCGTCGTCGTCGTCAGTACTTTCGGGAGGAGATTCGACTGGGCCTAGACAAACAGTCGGCGTCGTTATGCTTGCGGCCAGACTTATGCACAATGGCCACGTCGAATTCTTGCAGTCGCAGACTCCAGCGAGCGAGGCGTCCTGACGGGTCCTTGAGGTTGGCGAGCCAACAGAGAGCGTGGTGGTCCGTGACAACGCGAAACGGGATCCCGTACAGGTACGGGCGGAACTTGGTTAACGCCCAGATGACAGCGAGACATTCCTTGTCGGTCGCCGAGTAATTTTTCTCTGCCTTAGACAGTGCCCGGCTTGCGTAAGCGATCACCCTCTCTGCTCCGTCTTGTCTTTGAACGAGTACCGTGCCGAGTCCGGCGTTGCTGGCGTCCGTGTGAACTTCCGTTTCCGCTGATGGATCGAAGTGCCCGAGGATAGGGGGCGACTGGAGTCTTTCCCTCAGTTCGTTGAACGCTTGTTCTTGCTCCTCCCCCCACTGGAAGTTCACGTCGTCCTTGGTCAGATGCGTGAGCGGTGCAGAAATCTTGGCAAAATCGCAAACAAAACGCCTGTAGTAAGCGCACAGTCCAAGAAATCTTCTTACGGCTTTCTTGTCTGATGGCTTGGGAAATTCTGCAACAGCAGATGTCTTGGAAGGATCAGGGCTTACACCCTGAGCACTCACGACATGGCCCAGGAACTTGAGCTCGCCGTAAGCGAACCGACATTTTGACGGCTTTAGTGTCAGTCCAGCATTCTGGATAGCCTGTAGTACGGCTCGCAAACGTCTCAGGTGCTCGTCGAAGTCGCTTGCGAATACCACGACGTCGTCGAGATAGACGAGGCAGCTTTGCCATTTCAAGCCGGAAAGAACGGTGTCCATTACGCGCTGGAACGTCGCCGGTGCTGTGCACAGTCCGAACGGCATCACTTTCAATTCGTACAGTCCGTCCGGCGTGACGAAGGCAGTCTTCTCACGATCCCGTTCGTCGACCTCGATCTGCCAGTACCCACTCTTCAGGTCCATCGACGAAAAGTATCGGGCATGGCGCAGCCGGTCCAGAGTGTCGTCGATGCGTGGCAGCGGGTAGACGTCCTTTTTCGTTACGGCGTTTAGTCGGCGATAGTCCACGCAGAACCGAAGAGTCCCGTCTTTCTTTTTCACCAGGACTACCGGTGAAGCCCACGGGCTGCTTGAGGGCTGAACAATGTCGTCATCGAGCATTTCTTGGACCTGCTTCTGGATGACTTCTCTTTCTTTCACGGAAACACGGTACGGCGACCGACGCACAGGAAGCGCGTTGTCTTCAGTGACAATTCGATGTTTCGCAACGGTCGTTTGGCGCACCTTTGACGACGTGGAGAAGCACTCAGTGAACTCGGCGAGAAGGTCACTGAGTTGTCGTCGTTGTGGGGTAGGCAGGGTTGGGTCGATGTCAAACTGCGAAGGCGGCGTTGTCTTAGGTGGCCACGAAAAGAGGTCTTCTGATATTCCGGCGATTGCGGCTGCGTCCGGGAGTTCCTCGGCGTGGCCCACGGCGGTGCCTCTCGTAAGGTGTTGGGCCTCCTGTCGGAAGTTCGTTACGAGTGCGACAGTAGCGCGTCCGTCTTGGAGCTCTGTGACGCCTCTTGCGATGCCGATCCCTCTTCCTAGAAGCAACTGGAGGCTTCCTTCGAGCAAAACGTCGCCACAGAAAGTCTCATCGACCCCGACGGGTACGAAAACACTTGACCGCGGCGGTAGGTTCACGTGGTTTGCGAGGACTCGTACCGCGGATGACGTCACTTTGGGGTCCTCCTGTGGTGGAGCAGGTTTTCGAAGCGTCAGCCGGTTTGCTCCGAGGTCGATGACGGCGCCATACTCGCAGAGAAAGTCCATTCCCAGGATAACGTCCCTCGAACAGTCTTGCAGAACGACGAACTTGACAGGGCACGTCTCACCGTGGATCTCGACGCGAGCAGTGCATCTCCCGACCGGTGTGATGAGGTGCCCTCCGGCGGTTCGTATCTGAGGTCCATCCCACGGCGTCGTGACTTTCCGAAGGCGGCGGGAGAGCCTCCCACTCAAGACTGAGTAGTCTGCTCCGGTGTCCACGAGCGCTGATGCGTCGTGCCCGTCGATGACGACGTTTAGGTTATTGGACACCGTTGCAGGGGCGTGGTTTCGATCTCTGGTAGCGTTCGAGTGGGGGCCCTCCGACGTTCGTGGAGGATCTTGGCGTCGGTCGTCTTCGGCAACTCCACCTCCAGGGGTTGCCGCGGCTAGTTTCCCCGGCGAGGAGCGAGGGGCGACAGGCTTTCACGTCGGGGTCGGTGCATCGGCGAAGCTGGACGTCGTGGCGACGGCGACCGGAACTCTCGGCGGGACGTAGGCTCGGGGGACTGAGGTCCTCGCAGGTACTCGTCGATCTCCCGAGGGCGTTCACCATAACGGGGTCGCGGGTCGTTCGGGTGGAACCCGCGAAGCCCGAGTCGTCGGTATGGGCATCGGCGGTAGGTGTGGTCCGCTTCCCCGCAATGGAAGCACAGAGGGCGTCGGTCGGGCGTTCGCCACACGTCGGTCTTGCGGGGTGCGCGAGGCTCCGGGCAGGCGTACTGGACCTGGTCGTCGTGGTGTCGGTCGTGCTGCGGCGCAGGAGACTGACGTCGGGGCGGCGCGACATAGGCGCGACGAGGCGGAGGCGGTGGCCGTTGAGCCACTGCGGCGTAAGTCAACGTGGGCTCCTCGTGGGCTGCCACGACGACGGGAGCCTCTTTCTGGAAGGTTCTCTGGACTTCTTCCCGCACAACCTCGGCGATGGAGAGTGAGGCCGGGCGTACTGCAGCGGGCAGGAGCTTCTTGAGTTCCTCCTGGACGACTTCACGGATAATTTCACGGATGCCGGGGAGGGTGGTGCCAAGGTCGGATCCGGATGTCGCCAGGGTGGTTACGCCGGGGTGTCGCTGGTAGTGTCTGGCGCGTGCTTGTAGGGCCCGTTCCAAATTCGTCGCCTCCGTGACGAACCCGTCGACGGTTGTCGGGGGATTGCGAATGAGGCCGCCGAATATCTCACTTTTCACACCCCTCATCAAGTATGCAGCTTCTTCTCCTCGGTAGCCTGAGGATCGGCGCGGGCGCTCAGGCGGAGAACATCCTCAACGAAGCTGGTGACGCTCTCATGTAGGTCTTGGGTCCTTGTTCGCAGGAGATCTTCGGCCCTCTCACGTCGGTTTTGGCAGGCAAACGTCTTCTTTAATTCTTGCTTGCACACCTCCCACGACGTCAAAGAAGCCTCGTGGTTTTCCAATCAGTGCCTCGCAGTTCCTTCCATCGAAAAGTAAAGGTTCTGCAAGCAGTGCTCGGCTGACCACCCGTTATGGCGGGCCACCCGTTCATAGTGTTGCAGCCAGTCCTCGATGTCCTCGTGTGCGTCTCCGTGGAACGGCGTCGGAGTTTTGGGTGCGACGGGCAGGTATACGACGGACGGAGCAGCCGGGGCCTGCGCCTGGTCGGCCATCGTCGTCTTCTTCGGCTTGGGCTTGTCCAGTAGCAAACCGTATTCAGGATCCTCTCCCTTGATGCGCCGGCTGGTCCGAGTTTCGGGTTCCGCGGGGAGTGGTCTTCTCACTGGGCTTGGTACCGGACTTGCACTGCGGGATCTTGGAGGAGAACGCTGTACAGGCATGCGGTACCCCGCACCTCCACCAAAATGTCACGAGTGGTGACCAGAATAACAATAAATAAACAGGAAGAACTAAACGTTTAATGTGGCGAACTTGTGCCAAAGCAAAAAGAGAATAGAAAATAATAACAAAGCGTCGCGAGCGTCGAGGTCGGCGAGACAGCAGAGTCGAGCGCTGGGGCGAAAACTGACTGGACAAGGTCGCGGGCTGCCTCTTATCTAGAGTGAGTCACTATCTCGAAGATTCGGCGGAGAAGGTTCGAGCGTAGCGCGCTCGGGGCGAGAATGAACAAGCACTTTCTAGAACAACAAAAACAAGGATGAACGATAGTTATGTCCGCAGCAAGAATGAACGAGAACTTTCTACAAGTCCGTGACCCTGCGCGCGGCAATATATTAGGTCGCATTCTGTCACGAGGTACACACGGCAGATTGTCACTAATCGAAAAATAACGTACTTCATTTATAGGTACAATCGACTAAAAGTCCGAGACAAAGTCAGAACGAGATCGCAGAAGGAGCCAGCGCAGCATGGTGTGTATAGCTTGTGACAACTCATTTTTATGTGTCATTATTTGCCGCTCGCGTTCATTTCCCTTGCTTAATTTGTAGAAGGGGCTTCCACAAGTGTGCGGAAATCAGGCTGCACTGCTGAGGATTAAATCTCTTAAGTTTAATTGCTCATTGTAGTATGATTGCACCCTTTGCAACATGTTAACATGACATCTTCAACAAATTTCAGGAGGTTGACTGGTTTACTCAGTTGCGAACATCATGCAAGAAAATGTTTGAGAAGCACTAACATTCACTAGCATCCATGATCAGCTCATAATATTAACGGTCTGTGGGTTAGTGTGTCGAATGTTGACCTGAAGTTGGCATTGTAAGTCGGGGGAATCTGGGTAACACTGATATCTTTTTCTGAGTGAACTGGACCTTTACAGAGTGCTTTGCTTCTGTATGTTAAAAATGGATATTTATTGGCAATAGAAACTCTGGTACCACAGTGATTGTACAGACTCGTGTCCTTCATTCGGACTATTTTGGCCAATTGGTGAACCGGGACGACTGGGGCACGTTGCCCTTGGGCAGCTGTCAGTTTCCACCTCTGGAAACTCGTAGCAGTCACTACTTTCCACACTTTCCCTCTCCTGCTTGAATTGGACCAGGGCTCTTCGGTTCCGTTCGATTCGGAAACCGTGCCTCAACTCTACCACATACGAGCGCGGCCGGCTGGCCGGCTGAAGGACCACGCCCTTTTGTCTGCGGTCTTTCACCTAGACTACGTCACCGGGCTTTAACTGAGGCAGGTGACGCGCCGCATGGCGGCTGTTATAGAAGCGGCGTTGCGTATCCCTAAGGAGCGTGTCTTTTCGACGAACCTCCTTCAGGTTCGGCGTACTTGGCGCCAGTTTCTTTGGGTGGAGTGGAAGCGTGGTACGGAGCCGCCGACTCATGAGCAGCTCCGCTGGCGTGCTGCCTAGTGGTCCCGGGGTCTCCCTGTAGGCTAACAAAGCCAAATAGGGATCATTAGACTTCAACAGCAGTCTTTTAACGGTTTTCACCATCCTTTCGACTTCGCCGTTCGCCTGCGGAAACCTCGGGCTCGATGTCACGCTTCTGAACCGGTAGTCTCTCGCGAACTGCCTGAATTCCTGGCTAACAAATTGTTTGCCGTTATCCGTCACAAGAACTTCCGGTATGCCATGCCTCGAAAATATACTTCTAAGTTGTTCTACAACATGGGAACTAGTCAAGTCTTCAAGGCGGCACAGTTCTGGAAAGCGAGAAAGGTAATCCACTACTAACAAATAGTTACTTCCTTTCATGTGAAAGTTGTCTGCTGCCACCCTTTCCCATGGCCTAGACGGAGTCTTAGTCGGCATCATAGGCTCTGACGGCTGTTCACGGTACTCTGCACAAACCCTGCAATTTGTGACAACTGAAGCAAGCTGCGAGCTTAGGCCAGGCCACCACACGGACTCTAGTGCTCTGGCCCTGCACCGGACAATACCTTGATGCCCTTCGTGGAGCTGCTTTAAGACCTCGCTTCTTAGTGGCTGGGGAACCACGAGGCGGCTGCCTTTCAGAAGGACGCCCTTACAAATACTGAAAGTTCCACGTTCTTGCCAATAAGGCTTTAGCACGGCCGGTAAAGAGGTTATGCTGGGCCACCCTTCTCGAGTAAAGCGAATTAACTGTTGGCAAGTATCATCACCTGCTTGCTCTTCGGCAACCGATTTGAAGCTGTCAGACTCGCTCAACTCTGACAACGAACCTGCCACAAAACTGCTTACTTCTTCTACTGAGAGGCAGTTCACCATTCGCTGTCCCCGCAGTGGTGCCCGTGATAGTGTATCAGCAATCACAAGGTTTTTACCTGGCACATACTTGACATCGAAGCTAACCCGCATCAGCCGCATCCTAAACCTTTGAATGCGCGGTGGAAGCAAATCCAGTGGGGAGTTTCCCAGCAAAGTCACCAACGGCTTATGGTCAGTTTCTACAGCAAAATGCAACCCCCTTAGGTAACTTTCAAGGCGCTCTGCGGCCCAAGTAGGAGCCAAGGTCTCCTTCTCAATTTGCGCATAGCGCATTTCTGTAGGCGTTAGAGACCTTGAAACAAAAACTACAGGTCTTTGCTCTTTGTTGGGCTGCAGCTGTAACAAAACTGCACCTAATCCATATGACGAAGCATCCGCCGAAAGAATCGTCGGGTACTTTGGGTCATATGTTGCCATGCAACTATCCGAACCGATAGTTTTTTTTAGATACTCAAACGCCGCCTCTTGAGCGTCAGTCCAAAGCCATTCTGCAATCTGTTGCAGCAGCTGACGTAACGGTGCTGCTTTCTTAGCCAGATTGGCGATGAACCGCTAACAGTGATTAGCAAGACCCAACAGCCTGCGCATCTCAGTCACGTTCGTTGGTGCCTTCATATCAGTTATCGCTTGAACCTTCGCGGGATCGGGGCGTATGCCGTCTTTGCTCACCACACAACCGAGGAAAGAAAGCTCCTTCACGCTGAATAGGCATTTTTCTTTGTTCAAGGTTACACCGGCTTTGGAAAGTCGCTCCAGAGTGCGATGCAGACGCTCATCGTGCTCTTTCTGGTTGCAGCCAAAGAACAGCACATCGTCCATCAGGTTTACCACCCTCGCGATTCCATTAAGAATTTCACTCATGCGCTTCTGAAAATACTCAGGAGCTGAGGTTATCCCGAAGGGCAACCTTTCGAAGCAGTAACGGCCGTATGGCGTGATGAACGTAGTTAACCGCTGGCATTCTTTCGCCAACTTTACTTGATGGAAACCCGAGTTGGCGTCGAGTTTTGAAAACACCGCAGCTCCACCGAGCAACGCTAGAGTATCGTCAACTGTGGGAAGTACGAAACGTTCCCGTCTTACATTCTTGTTGAGTTGAGTCAACACAAATACGTACGTCTCCGGACGGCTTTAAGACCGGAACTATGCCCGCACACCACTCAGTTCGGCCTTCGACTTTTCTAATGACTCCATTGGCCGCCATTTTGTCAAGTTCTTTTTTTACGGCCTCTCGAAACGGGATGGGAATACGACGGGCGGTGTGAATGGCGTAGGGCACACTCTCTGGTTTCAGACGAATGCAATATTCGCCTTTCATGGTTCCCAGACCATTGAACAAGGAAGGATAGCTAGTTTCCACCGATGCTTGATTGACAAACTTTACTATTCCTAAGGCTTCGATGGCTGGTAAGCCTATGATGACAGATTTTACTAATTCAACGACAAAAACCGTTTTCGAGTGGAATTACGCTTCCACAAAATGGTGGCCACGAACTGTCCTTTGACCTTCAAATCCTCATTGCCTGGCCCCTTTAAAGTGACATTAGAACGCTCAAGCTGACCTGGTAATCCTGAAACTACTGAAACTTCAGCTCCCATGTCGATTTTCGCAGAAACGAGCGTATCATTGATAGGCACCTCTACCGTTCTAGCTTTGGCGCTTGTAACTCCCAAGGAACAGACAAAACTACTGCGGTTCGCAGTTCGCGTTCAATTCTCGACACTGCTGGCGCGTACCTTGGAGGCTCTTACTTGTTTAGTCGAGCAGACGGTGGCGAAATGTCCTCGGTTCCCGCACTTGTGGCATACTGCTCCTCGGGCTGGGCACGAAGAACGGGAATGCGGGCCTCTCCCGCATGTTGAACACTTCGGAGCGCTGTTGGTGTAGTGTCCGACGCGTTGACTGTTCTTTGTTCTTGGTCGATGCCCGTGGGGCTTCCCTTCACGGCGAACCGCGTCGACCTCGGCGCTCGACGACACAGCCTCCGAAAGTTCCGTGGAACCACTGCGAAGCTCCTTTTGTTGTCGTTGCACACTTTCTTTTAGACGTGCCTTCGCAAGGGCGCTTGCCAGTGTCAGCGTCGCGTAGGCCCACAACGAAGCGGTCGCGAACCATCCGCTTTTTTACTTCGCCGTAGTCGCACCGGTCTGCCAGCGTATGAAGGGCTGTGGCAAACCGGTCCACTGTCTCGCCTGGTTCCTGACAGCGGCGATGGAAGCACGCGCTTTCATAAACCAGGTTGCGTGCGGCGACAAAGTAGTCGTCGAACTTTTGCTTGGCAACGGCGTATTTCTTCCGAGTCTTCTTCAGACGGTTGAAGGTCTGGAATATCTTGCGTGCCTGCCGTCCCATGGTGTACAGTAGGGTCCGTACCTGAGCTTCCTCTGTCCGCTCGTTCAGTCCAGAGGCGAACCGGTAATCGTCGAAGTCCTGAACCCAAGCAGGCCATTCTGACGTTTTTCAAAGTTGAAGCTCGGCGGTGGCAGTACCGGGAAAGGTCCCGGCTGGAACAAAACCTTGTCTTCGTCGCCGGGCATGCCTGGTTACCCTTGGACGGCGGCCACGGCAGAAAGTGGGCGACGGACCACAAAGAATGGCAGGTGTCTCATTCCACTTCTGACACCATATCGTGTTTTCTACCGGGATGAACCGAAGACTTCCAGCCGCAGGTAAGGACGGACAGGCCCAAAAAAGCCCCGAGTTTATTCCAGCAATCCAATATATACAGAGGTCCGGTCACATGATAATAGACAAGCACGGTACACTTTCGGCAAGTCATATCGAGGGGTGATAGATGTCCGGTCACATGATGATGACGAGCACGGTACACTTTCCGCAAGTCATATCGAGGGGTGATAGATGTCCGGTCACATGATGATGACGAGCACGGTACACTTTCCGCAAGTCATATCGAGGGGTGATAGAGTACCGCGTGGCAGTATCGCGCTATACGCAGGAGACCGATAACACTGGTACGAGAGTTTTCGGTGAATGCTTAAGAGTGGTGCTACTTTTAGGACCGTCTTAGACCCTTCGGTAAAGTGTGCTACTACGCGGATTGTACTTGCCCTTTTCACAGAACGGTCAACCGCAAACACCACACCCGAGCCAGAACCTGACGCCGACGACCCCATCGCGGATCCTTATGAAGGTTACGTGCATGGACGATCCAGCCCCACAACGGTCCACAAAGCTGGTACGAGAGTTTCCGGTGAATGCTTAAGAGTGATGCTACTTTTAGGACCGTCTTAGACCCTTCGGTAAAGTGTGACACTACGCGGATTGTACTTGCCCTTTTCACAGAACGGTCAACCGCAAACAATACACCCGAGCCAGAACCTGACGCTGACGACCCCATCGCCGATCCTGATGCAGGTACGTGCATGGACGATCCAGCCCCGCAACGGCCCACAGAGCTGGTACGAGAGTTTCCGGTGAATGCTTAAGAGTGGTACTACTTTTAGGACCGTCTTAGACCCCTCGGTAAAGTTTGACACTACGCGGAATGTGCTTGCCCTTTTCACAGAACGGTCAACCGCAAACACCACACCCGAGTCAGGACCTGACGTCGACGACCCCACCGCTGATCCCTATGCAGGTTACGTGCACAGAGGATCCAGCCCCGCAATGGCCCACACAGCTGGTACGAGAGTTTCTGGTGAATGCTTAAAGGGGTACGGAAACGAAATTTTAGCGCCCAACTTTTTCCATATATATGGGCTAGGGACAGGCACCACCTCGGAAATATCAATATCGCGCTGTAAAACACAGGAGAACTCATTTTAAACCTAATTAAACGATTTCAAATTCACATCTGGTGGATGGTGGGAAAGTACTCGTGACATATCTTGTGGCATAGGAGCATCGCCGTTCTGCGGCAATACGGCCTGCCGGCAGAATTAGCCTAGGCCTGAACGCATTTGCAGAGCCTTCTCGGAGAAAACCAAAGCGTAGTTGGTCACAGTGAGCTCGTTCTCGTTGCGGCTCTGTTTGAACTACGAGAGTGTCAGCAAGAGCCACGCAAATACCTGTTCACACTCGGAGCGGACACGTGCGTTTGATGGAAGTGCTGGATTCGCTCTGTTAGACCGAATTTCGGTACGCGCTTCTAGACCGACCTTTTACGATTGCAACTCGATACTGATATGACACTCGGCAAAGGAAGGTTTGACCGACATCGCGTAGCTCCCACGAACTGCTATAGCTCGACAGTGACGTAGCGTCGTGTCAGAATGAAAATGGCATACTAATAACAAAGTGTACATACCGTGTTGCGAAGGTAATTCGTATGGCGTTTATTTGAGCTCTATATCACACAAAACAAGGGGATAGAATCAATGAAAGTCCCTTTCGACGACAGCGTTCGTCACCGCTGCCTAGGAAAACGAGGAGATCGAGATGACATGGGGAAAAGATTGACCTCTGAAATTTAGTTCAGGGATCAAACCAGACTTGTACACGTTACTGAAAAAAAGTAACTGATTACAATTACAATTACTACAGTCAAAAAAGTAACCGATTACCGTTACTGATTACTGCCTCACAGAAGTAATTGAACAATTACTGCAAAGTAATTGATTACTTTTCAAGTTACTTTCACGTTACTTTTTATTGCGATGACAGAAATACACAAATACACAGTAAAATATTGCGTACACAATTTTGTTTGGTTATTGTTCCTTTTTTTGTTTAAATAATAATTGGGTTGTGTGTGTGTTTGTACAGCCTAGAACTTGGTCTGCCTCAATGGGCAAAGAGTCTCCCAGCTGTAGATGAGAAATTTAGCCAGTGCGGTACAGCCGCTAGCCTGGGGTCTTTAACGTGCATCACGCAGTAGTGATACACGACCGCACGCCGGTACGATGCTCATCCTTTTTTTGTTTTCAGACCCGGACCTTGTCGTGTAGCTGACGCGTCGACCTAAGGAACAAAGCCCACTAAAAAGTCAATAGCGAGTTCCCGCTTCCCGTCGACTTCATCAGCAATCTGCAACGAGATCCGGAACTCCCCAGCCAAGGCTGGTGGCGCGCTTGTAGAAGAGCGTGGCGTAAAAGAAAAAAGGATTTGCCGACTAATCCTAGTTTTATTTTTTTTAGATGTTAAAAAAAATGTCAATCATTTTTGCTCCATGGCTGAGTGACAATGCTGATTTTTGTGAGAAAAAATATTGTGGGATGAAAAATGTAATTGGTAATTGTGTAATCCATTTTGTAATTGATTACAGAAAAAAAGTAATTGAATTACTCCGAGCGTTACAGCTTGACAAATGTAATTGAAGCGTTACAAATTACACTTAACTGTAATTGATTACAAGTAATCAATTACTTGTAACGCGTTACGTACAAGTCTGGATCAAACTATTCATCCGGGAAGGGTCCACAAGGGTGGTCGCGCGGGCATATTCCATTCAGCAGGCCAGCCGGTCATGGGCAGACGGTCTTGGCTAAAGACTGCCGGAGCAACGGTGCGCCGAGTCGGTGTTGCTGCTAGGCCTATTATATTCTGCCGAGCTCGCTTGATCGGTAGAATCGTGGCCGCTCCAGCTCTTCTCGGGTCTTTGTCAATCCTCCGTTCTTGATCGTCGTGGTCTGTTTCAAGTGCTCCTTCCTTTTTTCCTTGCTGATTGAAGTCTAGACGCACGAGAACAGCACGTGGAAAAATAATTGTCCGTTGGTTGTCGCTACCAAGTAACTGTGCGACACTGTTGGCCATGTTGATTTGATCGTAAAAAGTGCGTAAGACAGCTTCGAAGCTATTGTAGGATTCTGTCGTAACCTGCGCCAAAGTTACGTCAATTTCGTTTCGAGAATACGGGTTTTCTCTCAAATTTGTCGTACGCACTTTTTTCGTCGTGAGTTCGCTTTGAGAATCCGGCCTCATCAGAGCTGGTTTTGTCAGTGGTGCTGTGGTTGCCGACTTGCCGTGATGCAGCGTGCGTGCAGCCCTTGCACATCTCAAACGGCCACGTTGTCACAAGTCGTAAATCGTCGACGCGCCACAAAGTGGCAACGCTCGTAACCACAACATCCACGCCATAGGCTTTCTCGTCTGGGACAAGTGACGTCATGAATGCGTCCAATATCCCAAGACGCATCGCGCTCTCCGATGGTTGATTTTTGAGCGCGCGCCCAGTCTTCTTTTTGGATGGCTATATTTTTCAACCTCAGGGTGAAAAATATAGCCATCCGTTTAAGATACAAACGTGCGATTATGATTTAAGGATATCATTGATCATATTGAACCTATTTCTGACCATAATAGGTGTATTTCAAGTTTCGCTTCAGTATCCCTTTAAGAATGGTGCTACTTTTAGGGCCGTCTTGAACCCTTTGGTAAAGTTTGATACCACACGGAATGTACTTTCCCTTTTCACAGAACGGTCAGCCGCAAACACCACGCCCGAGCCAGGACATGACGCCGACGACCCCACCACCAATCCCGATGCAGGTCACTTGCACGGGGGATGCAACCCCGCAATGGCCCACACAGCTGGTACGAGAGTTTCCGGTGAATACTTAAGAATGGTGCTACTTTTAGGAACGCCGTGAACCTCCCCAGATAGGGGGCCAGGCCAGGGGACGGGGGGTGGGGAGAGGCGAGTGTTGTACGGGCATCACAATCTCTGGCTAGCATGGCTTAACAGGTAATGCTGCAAAATGTAATCTTGTCGCTAAGCGAACATCCACTGGCATGCCTGCCACTGAAGCTGCAGACAACATAGAAGCGCAGAGGGGTGCAATGGCACAAGAAGGAATTAGTCTTGGCACACACTAAGGGTTTGCAGAAAAATCCGACAGGCAGCTGTGATAGTACTGGGCATCACGTGTCATGGCGTTTCAGCTCAAATTGGATGCAGTAGTACTGTGCTCTTCAACCCTCATGCTGCCTACGAGCACCTGACTTTTCTGGGGAGCGCTGCCCTAACAGCTATCATTTTAACTGGCCATCACACAAAGGAACATGCCCATCCTTCTCACTGGGATAGGTGGAGGTACTTTTGATGCTCAGGGCAGTTGACCGATTGCCGAGCATGTTTCGGCTATCTATCAATATCGGAGCATGAAGGGAAAAACTGATTTATTCTGTCGGAGGCACATTCTTCCTATTTGCGCTTTAACGACCCCTCTTAGATGATCTGTGGCCAATTGTGTGAGACAATGTAACCTTCACATGCGTCATTTTCACAGCAGGACCATTCAAAAAGGTCACATAGTACTCAAATGTTCCACAATCTGTTGCGATAACATAGCTTGACTGATGAGATAAAACATTCATTCTCATCATGCTTCTTTACGTTGAGATAGGGGCCAAAACACACTTGGCAATCACTCTGCTGCCTGAGCACCCCAGCTACCTCCCCCACTTTAGTTAAAAAGTTGGGTATGTTCTGTCACATGATGATGCCCCACATTATGGTTTTTAGAAACTCATATCAAAGCATTGTAGATGTAAGGAACTAAAAAAAATATCAGCAATCATCAGGGACACAAATATTGACATCCTCGTACATGAATCTGTTGCGTCTTGATTGGCCCAAACTATGGAAGTTTTCTACAAAGAGTGCAAATGATTGTTACACTCATGTTGATCTTACTTTATTATTGTACAGATCTGCCTGCCAGGACCACAATATGTGCTGAAGTCGGCTCAATCGTGGAGAAGCCCGTAGCAGACAAGGGTATGTTTCTCATATTGAAGATAAAATAGGGTGAAACCCCATGTGAAGGTACGAGGGCTGGGCTTTTCATGTCATTCACATTTTGCGTATTTTCAGGAATGCAAGCTGATGATGGGGCACGTAAGCAAGTGGTACAATATCAGAAAGAGTTGAACATCCTACGACTGGAAGTGTACTTCCCACGTGAAAATCTGGAGAAGAAAAGGCGTCACGGAGGAAACTTTTCAAAATAACGAGGAGCTGACAAAATACTACACTGGGCTCCCCAACTTCAGCATGCTCCACATGGTATTTAAACTAGTGAAGCAGTTGGTGAGGCATATCCCAAACATTGTCCTCACACAGTTTCAGGAGTTCATAGCAACTCCTATCAGACTTCGTCTGAACACTCCACTGCGAGATCTGGCCTACAGGTAACATCACATGATATATTGCCACTAAATAGCTGTTTTTTAATACTTTGATGCTTCTTTTTTGCAGATTTGTGGTGTCTGAGGCAACCATCTCTAGAAGCATTACAAAGTGGGTTGACGTTCTCTACTTAGGCCTCGACAGAGTCATCAGGTGGCCAACCAGGAAACAGCTGAAGCGGACGATGCCAATGTGCTTTTGTGCTGCGTTTGGCACTGAAGTTGCAGTCATTATTGACTGCTTTGAGGTATTTATAGAGAGGCCCACATCCCACGTGGCCAGGTCACTGACCTGGTCACAGTATAAACATCATAACACTGTTAAGTGCTTGATCGGCATCGCACCGCAGGGGACAGTTACATTCATATCTCGAGGATGGTGCGGGCGAAGCACTGATAAACTGATAGCTGCGAGCTCGGGAATTTTAGAGAATCTCCAGCCTGGAGACTGTATCCTAGCGGACAGGGGATTCACTATCGAGGAGTCCATAGGCCTGTATTGTGCTCGCCTCCACATGCCAGCCTTTACGAGAGGGCAGAAGCAGTTGGCACCATGGAGTGTTGAGGCGACCCGTAAGCTAGCAAATGTCCGCATTCATGTGGAGCGAGTCATCGGCTTGATTCGAAATAAGTATGTTATTACAAAAAGTGTCATACCAATCGATTTGCTTTGCGCAGAGGGCCAGGATCGTGCAACTACCTTGGACAAGATTGTTTTTGTCTGCTCCACACTGACCAGCCTGTGCGACTCAGTTGTGCAGTTCAACTGACATGGAACAGTAATTGGAACAAAACACTACAAGCCTCATATCCGCATTTTACCGTCGCTTACTTTTACCATATCCTCCCTCTGCTCAACCTTCACGGATAACTGCAGCACGGTTTTGTGATATTTGCAATTTGCACAATAACATTGTTTTTTTTTCGTTTTTAGAGCGGAGCTCTTAGGGGCCCGTTCCCGGCTTGAGCGGCGTCGGCGTCGGCGTCGGCGTCGGCGTCGCCGTCGGCGTCGGCGTCGGCGTAACCGCAACTCTCGTGAGGGTTACGAGGGTTACGAGGGTTAATCTCATGAGGGTTACCCTCACGAGGATCACGAGGGCCACGAGGGTTACTTACCCTCGTAACCCTCACGAGGGTTACGAGGGTTAGTTATCCTCAAAAAGGTTACCTTCACGAGGGTTACCCTCACGAGGGTTACTTACCCTCGTAACCCTCACTAGGGTTACGAGGGTTAGTTACCCTCAAAAGGGTTACCTTCACGAGGGTTACCCTCACGAGGGTCACGAGAGTTACGAGAGTTACCCTCACGAGGGTCACGAGAGTTACCCTCACGAGGGTCACGAGAGTTGCCCTCACGAGGGTTACTAGGGTTACCCTCACGAGGGTCACGATGGTTACCCAGGTCACGTGACCCCCCGTTGACGTCATAGCCACTGATGACGTCACCGGCATCCGCATCGTCATCGTCATCATCACTGACGACGTCATCAGTGACGTCACTGATGACGTCACCGGCATCCGCATCGTCATCATCATCATCACTGATGGCGTCATCAGTGACGTCACTGATGACGTCATCGGCATCGTCACGTGGCCCCAGGTCACGTGACCCCCCGACGTCACGTGACGCCCCAAGGTCACGTGACTCACACAAGGTCACGTGACCCCCCGCCCCCCGAGGTCACTTGACCCACCCCCCCAGTACCCTTCCCTCCTCCTCCTCAAGAGCTGCGCTCTAATTCGGCGTTACAGGGAGTTGTAAACGGCTTTCATTTTTTGTTTGTTTTTCACACTGTAGCGCGGGTCACACATTGTTGTTGCATGCTTTTTCGAGCAATTGTACTGTCAGCACTTCAGCCACCTTGCACGTCTGCGATCCCTTCCATTATAGTCGAGTTTGGTGCACCGAAAACATGTGTTCTTTTTGGGCAGTTTGTTTGATTTAATGGCATAGACTAGGAGTGGTCAGACGCATATGGTCCAAGAGCCATAAAAAAATAACCGCCTTAGTGAAGAGCCGCTGTACAATAGGGGGCGTGGTAAGTTTCTTTATTTCTTCATCACAGCCCCAGGCCACAGTGAGTTAACTAATGCAGCCCTAGTTCAGTGAGTTTCTGTGTTGTGTTTCATCAATAGTGATGCGAATAGCTTGAAGTTTGGCTTGAACAATATTGTAGTTCGGAGCAGTTCGGTTAGGTGGTCGAGCCCGCATTCTTTCCAACCATAGCAAATGCGTCCTCGGTTGCAACTGCGACACGTTTCTGCACAGGAATGCCAAACTTCTCTAAAGTTGTTGAGAAGGCGGTCGTGATCCTTCTGAAATTCCTTCTAAACAATAAAGAAAAGAGGATGTTTTGACACGTACCACTGAAAAACAGTCAACTGCAAGTATGGTGGCACAAACCCGAAGCTTTCCTCCTCGGGGAAAACGGGGAGTTCAACGAGAGGGGGATGCATTTACCAAGGAGCGACGAGCCGTATGCGGCTTGCAAGCCCCTGGCATAGACGTTGAGCAGTTTGCTGTCACGAAGGTGGGTATCGCATTGCTAGGTCTCATTGGAGATAGCTTGCTTCTTTGTGTTTCACGTTGAGTTTACTCTCAGTTCTTATTTTTCACCGTCCAAGAAATCGATTCTAAGCTTCTCAATACGGTGGGGGTTCCATACCTTCGAACTGCCAGCAAATGGGTCACATGTTGCAAAATCTGTCCTCTTTTCCCAATCTTTCTGAGAATGTACAGAGCAACTGCATGGTTTTCGGACACCACTTGCCGATGATTAAATACCGACCGCACACGTCTCATCGAAAGTGTTTGCAGAACCAGTTTTTGTTTAACTTCTTCCTCACCAATTAGTAAAACAAAACCATTTACCCTTTTGAGGGTTCATTGTACAGCACCTTTTTGCCTTGTTTTGAAGAACCAGTGTTTCCATGCTTTTTGTACCCATACACTTCAAGGGGATCAGTTCACTCGCATTGAGATTTATCACAAGGCACGTTTTTGCCCCGTTTGACCCATCACAATTGGGATACACGGTTCTGTTTTCTTTGCACCTCTTTTCTTGTGGCCCTGTTTTCCTGGAAGTCTATGCCAGCACATGAAATGACACCATTTATGCTTGTGTGAAGTTTATTGCAGTGTTTTCATGCCAACAGACTTGGAATTAAACATTTTCATCTACATTGAGGATCATCGCACAGCACCATTCAATCTGTTTCAATGCACCACAATCACATTAAACAGTTTTATTTTATTTCCACCTCTTGAGGTTGGTTTCCACACTCTGCCAACACTTGAAACCATTTACTGTAAAATCCCGAGAGATAGCCCACCTAAAATCAAGGGAAAATCTGGTAAAAATATGTGGTGGGCTAACTTTCAGTGTACAAGAGTAGTAAGTTGGGCGAGCTGGTAAACGTTGAACATGGTTAAAATCGCGCACAAAGACGTGTGTACTGTGTACAATCAAGAAAAGTTGAAACCATTATATTTTAGGTCATGCTTCCCTTCAAGCTTGTTATCATGGCGAGGGGCAACGAAGTAAAGACGACTGCTTCCCATTCATCAATGACCGGGTATATCCCGCCGCAGATAACTAGCCGCATTTACGTGCCGAGGTTATCATGGATCCCAACACTTCTATTACTAGAAGTGGGCTATCCTTCGGTGTTTAAAAATATATATAAACTCAAGCAAGATGTAGCGGGCCACCTTTCGGGAGTGTGGCATCTCTCGGGATTTTACGCTATGCTTGGATGAAGTCTATTGCACAGCCTTGAACCCCATTCCCATTCGTCGGAGCATAGTCTCTCATTTGCAGTGGGTGCAGAGCCACTGTTTGCGTGGTGCTCTTTTAATGCCAACACACTTCCAGTGAAACCACTTACGCTCACACTGGGGGTTATCACAGAGCACCATCTTGCCCTGTTCTGGTCCATTGCAATAGCAATAGGTAGTCCTGTTCTCTTTGCGTTCTTCCCGAGGCTTTGAAAATGCCTTGTAAAGCAGCTCTGGCAGAAGCACACACTTGAAGAAGTTTGTGCACTTCGAAACCATAACCTCGGCGATCTCAACATCAAAGGTAATCCTCTCAATGCAGATTTCTTCGGTGGTCCACACTACATAGTCACAATAACTCAAATTACAAACATACATTTGCATCTGGACCTGGTAGAAATGAGCATGCTTTCTTTTCAGTTGCATGCACTCTCCGTCGGGGAGAGCCAGGCTACTACTCTTTAGGCAGATACACTCTATGATGGTGCAGTCCCGACTACTGTACGGGCATTTCACTTCACGTACGCCTTCCCCACAGCACTCGCACCTAACAACACCATATGGCGACGCTCCAAGCCATGAATGAGTAGGACTTAGGTGGAGTCCGGACTTACGGCACTGGAAGTTTAAATGGCGAGTGGATTGTGCATCTATGTACATTTCCCTTGCACCTTCTTCTTTCTCATTACCCCAAGCCGTGGCTTTTGTTGTAAATCTGTGATTGTCCGGGTAACAGAGCCGTTGAATCAGACTTTCTGACGGAATTCCTACCGATGTGGCGCACACAGCTTTGGCATTGGAAGCCGTCACCCTGCCCGCACGAAAAACAAGCCACTTCCTGCATGAAGTTTGTGGGCTTGTCTCTTCTTCGATCAGTGTCAGCACCTTCAATAAAAATAAGTATTTCAAGAAACAAAATGGGCAAACAAGAAGGATGGGAAACATTGGTACAACCATGACATAAATTAACCTAAAACGGTAGTACTTTGCTTAGCCGGACGGGCGGCTACAGACTTGCAGGTTCGAACCCTGGCCAAGATGCCCACAATATGATAGAAGCTTATTGCAGAGAAGGTGCATTGAGGGTAATAAAGATTTCGGTTGCACATCAAAAGATTCCCACATGGTCAAGATCTGTACCTAGTGTTTTCTTTTTTCGGCGTTTTGTTTCCATTCAGTTTATATTGCTGTTTAATCCCACTCCTCTGTAATGCCCGCGGGTTCTGAGAGTATAATAAATAAATGAAATGAAATGAAATTAATCCTCAGTCGTTCACTTGGGCGTGCTGGATGCCGTTCGCTGGTCTGGCACGTAAGCTCCTAAATTAGAATTTCTCCATCTTGCCTGCACCATTTTTTCATCATGAGACACTGAACTCGAATGCTTACGTTGGGTTCAATGTGAATGTCGCTGGCAACCTTTTCACATTCTTTCATGATGATGTCCCATGACGGCTGCACTCCTTTCTTGCACATGTTGTTCAGCACGGCAGTCTTGTACTTTGACGCTGTGGGTTCGTACTGCTCGGCGTAGTCGTCCACGAGGGACAGAAACGCAGGCTTTGTGCCTGCACTGCTGACATCGGCGAGGAACTGGGCCCACTGCTGATCATCTGGCCGCGAGGCTGCTGGTTTGGGTGACCGCAGGGCTTGCAAGTGAGACGGCTGTGCATCGTCAATTCGCCGTTTCTTGGCGGTGGCTGATGAAAAGTCCACTTTCGAAATGGGCACACACTCCAAGTTATTACAGTAGGCTGGCAGCCACATGTTGTCTTTTTCTGTGCAGGCCCTTGCGTCCCTGTGTTTGACGACGACCTCTAGGTAGAACAACACTGCTCCAATATGCGAACACGCTTCACCAAGTCCAGCCATGCAATCGCAGTGTCCTAGAATGACCTCGCCATCTGGTTTCACCAGCAACCAGGGCTGCAGGCAGCCTTCCCTGGTGCTTTGGGAGTGGTTGACCTGAAATTGAACGACAAAACAACAATA